AGGGTTTAGGGTTTAGGGTACTTCCAGTTGCGATTACTCTCAGGAGGTGTTCCACCCAAGGAGAGCACCCAGCAGGGCACCCCACAGGAGCAGCGCTCGGCCCCAGTCTGCAGACAGGACCTGAAATGCAAGGGATGCTAGGGTTTAGGGTTTAGGCTTTAGGGTTTAGGTGCGATCTCGTATTCGTTGAGTACAAGGAAGCCCTGTCATCTGTGTTATGAACTTCTCATGGACGGCATGTCGCCCTCATGGCACCCATCAGAAACGGCACTAAGGTGTTTGGGTCTGAAGTCTCGGGTGACAAGCCGAAAGCGGAAAAAGCATCGCCTCTGGACATCCTAACCTTCAGAACCCCGGGTTTAGGGTTTAGGGTTTAGGGTTTAGGGGTTTAGGGGTTTAGGGGTTTAGGGGACACCCGACCCCAGACTGTTCAAAACCCTATACACGCAAACTCCCACAACTATGCCTCCAAACCCCTCAGCCCCGGCCCAAACCCTCAAAAGGGCTGCGGGTTTGGCAGGATAGAACACCGTGAGGCCCTTTGCAGAAAAATATGGATGGGGGTTCTCGAACTGAGGGTCCCTTTTTAGGTCCGAAAACTCGTACCGCACCCTTATAACAAGGACCCTAAAAGCGACCCTAATTCAGAAAACTACCCACATAGAACCCTCAGAGCCTTATAGAAAGCCTTACAGATCCCTTTAAGGGACCCTGAAAGGGACCCTACCTGAGAGAACTACAGAAACTTTCGGACTGCCGGGAAACCCCAAATCGGGCGCCCCGGCCGCGGCGCGCAGCCGGCCGATGCAAACTTCCGTGCAGGCGCCCTCAAAGGCGAGGAACGTGCCTTGCGGGTTTAGGGTTTAGGGTGCAGGGTCTAGGGTTTAGGGTTTAGGGTTTAGGGTTCAGGGTTTGGGGTTTAGAGTTTAGGGTTTCGGGTTTGGGGTTTGGGGTTTGGGGTTTGGGGCTTAGAGTTTCGGGGTATAGGGCTTCAGGGGCTGAAGGCTTTAAACCTTTGGGTTTTGGGTGCTGGCAGTTCCTAGCTTTGGAGCCGAAGAACGAGACTAGACTGGGCTTCAGGATGCACCGAGGTGTCTGGAGTCCAGGGCCTAAGACTGACCAACCCTCAGCTCTGAACCCGAAACCTGAACATGAATGGTACTAGCTACGAGTCATAGCAGCCGGAATACTTAAAGGATCAGGGCACTTCGTAAGTATGGTTATAAGTACCCTAATTAGGGTTATAAGTAGATATAACTATAGTTACCTTACTTATAACCCTACTTACTAAGTCCCCTGATCCTCCAAGTACCAATCGCAGCAGAGGTGGTGGGAGGAGGACGAGAGCATCGGAGATCGGAGATCGACGCTAGATGCTCTGGGTTCTTGTTAGGGGGTTTTATTTTAAGTTACCACAATAGGCATCTATAGTATATAGTATGGTTTCTTCATTATTGCTAACTTAAACTCAATCCCGTAACAAGAACCCGGTGCTTTTGAGATCGGGCCGCCCTGGCCTATCGGATCTGCCGTGTGCCGAAGGACGGTGACCTGGGAAGACGCTTCTCTTCGGTGGTCGGCTCTGGGTCTCAAGTCATCTGCAGTTCAGCTGCTGGAGTTTTAGGGTTTAGGGTTTAGGTAACATCCCTAAGCCCCAGACCCTAAACCCTAAACCACTAAAAACGCTAAAAAAAAAAACGAAGAGCCCAGAAGGCGGTTTTGAGGATGGGGGGAAAGGCCTGGGCATGGTTTGCTCGGCCAATAACGATTCTACTTGCTGCTTTGGGCTCCTTTGTAGCATGTTTTAACAAGGAGCCCTGAGCAAGAATATTGATAATTATTGAGGCTTCTATACTACTTGCTGTTTCGCGTTTGGCCAAGCCGGCTCAACCTGCTAATATAGGGGCCTTAATAACTAGACTAGGG